TTGTGTTATAGTTATAGTTTTAAATAGAAGTCTACTTTATTCATCACCGCCTCAAGATTTATTGTAGTTGTCGCATGTACCACTATCATTATAGATCATGATAAAAAATGTATTAGGTATTTCAAGTAGAAATTGCCTAGCATCTAACGGCAAATAGTTACTCTTTAAATTTTCGTACAGACACAAAAACATTTTTACTGAGCTAACGTCGAGTGATAAAGAGTTTGATGAACTTATAAGAGCATCACCGTGCGCTGTGTTATATTTTCAAATAAATGTTGCTCACTCAGTCAAAGTGACGACGTGTACAGTTGTTTTTAGTGAAGTGAGCGGCCGTAAAGTATTCTATAACAGACTAATCTCAAGCGCCTATTAACATCCCACAGTAGCACAGTGACCGAAACCACAGATATGGGCGCGTGATTTCTGCAGTCCCATCGATCCATAGTTACGTTATCAAATTTTCACACGGACCCTCCCGCGCCAAGATTGACTTTATTTGTGTAAGTTTAACCGCAGGCCTACGCGCAGCTTCGGTTGATCTTGAAATTGCTGAATTCTACTCCACTTATCGGTTCAAAGCGTCGATCTTTCTACATCTCGACAGCTCCCGTAGTGAATTAAGGTCAGCGTAATGTAAAATAGTGAAAAATAAAATCGATATAATGCGATAGGTAGCCAGTCGGTAGCCAATCGCGGCGCCCGAGAATATTGATCATCGAAATTGATCAATCAAATCGAAAACGCTGTACCGGAAATAAGAATCGATATAATGTTACGTTGTCCGTTGAATTGAATGTTTTTGAAAATGGGTTTTTTGTTCTTGTAGGTAATTTAGTAAAGCTGTCAATGAGTTCATTGCCTATAGAGTTGTTCTTCAATTCGATCATTGGGTCTAATTCTCTTTTTTATTCTGTATTTTTTTTTTTATGCAAAAATAGCCTTAAATTCAGAACGTTATTGAAGCTAGCCTTCGACCATTAACCTCGTCTTAAGACAAATATATAAGTAGTTTTTCGAGTGCAGAAAAAAAATACAGCCATATTAGATTATTACGAACAGCGTGGCTTTTACCATTACGGCGCCGTTATTTTTATAACAAACTTTTTACTGTAATTTTATAGCATCTCATTGTAGTTACTCATTCAAATTTCACCAATACTAGTACTATAGTTCCCTATAGTTTATTTCAATGATTTCGATAGGACAACTTCTCAAAATTACGAATATCCATGCATTGTGAAACTCCTAATGTCGATGGTGGAGTGATGTAAATTCGTCTATGCAGTAATTAGGATAGTAAATGTAAATGCATGTACACACATTATAGAATGTTAGTGACGGGTCGAGTCGGCCGACGCTCTGATTACCTCGGATTCAAATGGTGATAGACAAACGCTGTACGCGCATCTAATGATCGAACAGAAGCGTCTGAACTAAATTAATTGACGGCAAATTCACCGCGACTTCATAGAGTATTGATTACAAAGGTCATCATGTTCGATATTTAATTACATAGTTTACAAGACTTATACACTTTACTTACTGATTAACGTCCTGTATATAAAACCTACGTTTGATAAAAATCTATCAGATTATGCGTGATTTTAGTGGAACAGCGAGAACGAACCTAGATTTGTGTATTTTGATTTTTTGTATTTTGATGACATTGTGGTGAGGTTTAAACTTTGAAATTTCAAGAGGGATAACGACATGTTTGTGCCCATAGTGCTGCGCATTTATATGAACTTCGATACCGGTCCGCGAGCAGTAGGAATTAGCCCCTTAGGTTACCAACGATTAGTTAGAAAAAAAGCGGTGGTAATCGCTTTTGATTACTGTGGCAATAAAAAAATATTTGTTTTGTTCAAGGCGTACATATTATGTATACATTACCAAGCTTTTTACGAGTATATTTTAAGGTTTCCGAGTGTCGTTACCACACGTACACTTTTTACAATTAAATTTATTTCAACTCTATTTTCAATATCTAATATAATACTGTGAGTGATCAACTATTACAAAGATTTATAAACAAGTTCGGTCCCTTGCGTTTTTTTTTTAAATTGGTAGCTTAAGATATTATTTTAAAAACCTTATTAGGGAATATCTTTGACTTTGTTTAGTCTGTGGCGCACGATGTTACGCGCCGTGCCGTAATGACATTGTGCCAGCACGGGTTTTTTCTCAGATCGCGTTTGATGTTATTGTTATTATTTTTCTCTCATAGTCTATGCAGAGGTTAACAAACTCGCAGCATCTTTGCATTTTCATTGAATATTCGTACAAAGATTTCGTCTTACGAATGGATTTTCATGAAAAATCGTAGCAAATAGTATCAAATTTTTATCGTAATTTTTTATTAGATTAATTTAAAGCTATAATTAAATTATTTTTATTTTATAACTAGCTGACCCGGCAGACTTCGTAGTGGCTCAATCGATAAATAAAAGACCTAAACTTTTGTATAAAATAAGCTTAAAACAAACAAAAGGAATCCGTCCGACAGGGGAAACATCAAAGGAAAAACAAAGTTGTTATTTTTATTTAATTTCGAGCATTATTATATTTATCTACACTTTTGAACCTTTTCTGGACTTCCACAAATAATTCAAGACCAAAATTAGCCAAATCGGTCCAGCCGTTCTCGAGTTTTAGCGAGACTAACGAACAGTAATTCATTTTTAAATTAATCTTTCAATAGGGATTTTTCAGTACGAAATATTTACGTAGGTGCATTTGAATAAGCTATGTTTCTACACGTAAAGTTTCTAAGCGGTGAATGCCTTGGGACATGACGTCACAAATTAGTTTTCAATACCCGGCTTGTGTGTAGGAGGCGCGCGTGCCGAGCTCGCAAGGTGTTCCATCAGGCCACATAATTGGACCCTTCCGATTGTGCAAGCCCTCGCCATATTGGCGTATTCATTGTTCATACACTGTCCGTTTCTATTTGTTCTTAGCTCTATTTCTATGTTATATACCTAAGATATCAGAGAATGTGATGGCGGAGAATTATTTCCTCTTCTTTTCTAATTACTTGAACTTTTCGAAATAATTATCGGCTTATTATTTATTATGCAGTATATGTAATTAAATTACGCATACAAGCGGCTATGTATAGATCTTACTCATTTGTAAAATCGTTTGGAGAATACAGTAAAAGCTCCTTTTTAGCGCTTCCTTAATTCGCGTTTTCTCTATTTTCGTTGAAATAAAAAAAAACTCAATTCATATATTACCGGCAAAAAAATCTTTACACGCACACATTGATAAAAGGCATTCCAAAATTTAGGTATCAAACCGAATATCCTTTGTAAACGCGTCTTCAAATCGATCACCAAAAAAGTGAAATATCCCTTATTACAACTATGCCTAAAGTATATTATTAATTTGCGAAACATATACGTGGCAAGTAAAGAGCTTTTACTGTTTAAAAAAAAGGCATGTTTCACTTTTATTTTCTCTAACAAAATTTCCTAATTGGCGGCTATGTTAGCGAACAATAATCATAGTAACGTTACGGCAGATGTATTCCGTGTGAAGTTAGCTCGGTGCGTTATATTATTTATTAATTTCTGAGCTCATTACCGCCGGGGTAGGCAGGATTGCCGTTTACAATCACGAAGAACCTCTAACTGACTGCCGCCTTATTTACGGAGTTTGCAAACGCGGCGGCTAAGAATCTCATAGACAAGGCAATCGAGAAAAATAAGCATATCGACACCGTGCTTGTTATATAATTAGAGCTTCCGTTTTTGACATTATAATTAATTTTAATATTTAATCCAAATAAAGATACGAATTGAATAATTTAAACAAAACAAATTCGAATGTATTTTCCATGTTCTTTTTACCATTTAGGCAAACATATTTTTTAAAATTTCTTAGGCTGTGTTTCGATGTACAAAGCTACTTAGACAAAGTTTTCTTGAAACCGGTTTTGCTGGCTTCGAAATTTCCATTTTAATCTTGATATTGAGTTTCGTACTTAAATTCTCATTAGAAAAAAAAATACTGGCTGTATTTTTATATTGTCATTAATGAATCATTTTTATTTACTTCTTAAACGGGCGAACAAACTAACGGTTTTCTTGGTGTTAAGTTATAACCGGAGCCCATAGACATGAACAAGGTAGACGCCGTGACCGACGTTGAAGTTGTAAGTCTCTATAGCACAACGGCTGCCCTACCGTTCAAACCAGAACGCATTGTTGCTTCGCGGTCCAAAAATAGGCAAGAAATATTTTCATATAAGTCATGTCTATGTTGTTCTAAAGTAGTCGGTATAAGCTCAGGGGCGTTTACAAGGCAATCCCAGCAGCGACTTTCATCAGCGCGACCGGCAATCTGCGCGCGCGCCGCCTAATGACGACTCAACCATTACGCACGTTATTAACCTCTGCACGGCTCCTGTCAACGCGTGTTGCCAGCTCTTTTTACTGAAAGTGCTTCGCAAATATTCCCACGACACACGAATATATCAAATTTTGTTACGAATTCTATCTGATTATTTCAGTATTCTGTGGATAGGATTCCACATTCAAAACCTTAACTCTTTCTGAATTAATTACCCATTTTTTGTTATTTCAAATTCTTTTAGTTTGAAAGTTCATATTTATTGTAAAGCGACACATCAATTATATCTCAGTAACGTTGGTACGTAAATAGGACCTAAATCTTTTATATGATATCTAGTTAAATGAATTCAATTGTATCAAATTTATAGGATAATTTCGTGATTTCATTAATTGAAGAGACTAGGATTGAAATTTTCTGAAAATAAGTGTGATATTGTTTTTCTTAAGTCCGTAAGGTAATCGCTTCTAGCGACAAGACGGTTCGTTGTATTTTAGTATAGTGTTGTGTTTCTAATATTTAAAGTTAACTACTACTTTTTTGGTCTGTAATAAAGTATACTCTGCTTTAGGTACAATAGGTACACCTTTGTGGCAAAAAAAATCTATTGTAGCGATTAAAAATCTCGAAAAAAAACTTACCACCAGTGGGCAGGTTTGCGTTAGTCTTATAATCACGTTCTTCGTGCGATAGTGATCTGAATGTTCTAGACGTAGATGTCTTATATTCCATATCTCGAAGGGCGATGGAAGCACTATCACAGGTAATGAGTGGCCGCTGGAATCCGAACGTTCTAATCGGATGTGTTGTAGTATTTGTACCTGGAGATCAATTTGATAGTTAGAGTATCTCGAATCGATAATTCATCGATCATTGTGCTATCGATTACTCAAATCGATCACTCGATCTTAATGTCGCCGTATTTTTTTCGTTACTGCTCCGACTTCGTAGTAATTAATTACTTTTTAACTTAACCCGAAAGTAATATTCGTTTACTCTTCATTTTAGGTGATAAATATTTTACGAATAGACAACCAATGTTAACACCAAGACACTTAAAAACCAGAGAGAAGCACAGAATAAATTGTATTAATAAAATACATATCAAATATAATAAATCTTTTATAATTCGAATTTTTGTAGATATTTTAAGAAAAAAATAGATATTTCCGGCGTGGGGTCTTCAATTAAATTGCAATATGTCAATCACCTCATTAGCCAGGTAGAAACTGATCCTTGTGTATATTATACCGGCCTATGTCGGCCTTAAAGCGAACCCCGCAATTATTCGTGTCGGAAAAATTATAAAACATAATTGGTTTATGAGTTTACACAATGCAACATAATATATCGATCGATGCGGCAATTATGTCGTGAAATCGACGCAAACAAAATGCAGGCGGTTAATTATTTTCGGAATAGGGAACACGGAATAGTGCGGGGCTAGTTTCGATTATTCGTATAGATCGCAAAAATCGATAGTTAATTATTTTACTTGATTTTCTCATTTATATTTTTGACTTGAGTGTGGTAGGCTACTTGTCTAAATATGTGTCTTTTTTCCTGAACAAAAAATTAAATTAATTTAACTGATTTCTAATTCCAACATGTAAGGCCACTAGTTTATCATTCAATATATGGTATTTTAAATAAGAAAGAGAGAAATTTAAATAAATCAATAAGAGAGAAAGAACTATATGAAAGAGCATTTGAAACAAGAACTTCATAATTCACTTATAAATAAATATATTTGAATATACTTGCTATATACAAGCAAAAGTATACAAATTGAACATTTTTAATCAATTATTAAATATCGATATCCGATATTACATTCTCGGGCACAACACAATTAGCGAGGGTCACTGCGAAGCGGCTTACGGCGGGCCACCTACAAATTAAGTCTATTAACTCAAACTTTTAAGTCCCCGCTCACGCGAGATCTTCCTTTCTTGTCCCCCGGAGTTTGGGGGCTTATTCGTTAAGTACTTGTCTTTTGTATTCCCTTTCCACTCTTTGTTACGTGCTTCTGTGTACCGGGATTTGTGAACTGTGCGGAACTTATGCTAGTTTTATTGTCACGATTTTCTAAATATTGATCAAAGATGTTATTAACATAGCACATTTAAGTTTTTCTTTATTTATTGCTTAGATGGGTGGACGAGCTCGCAGCCCACCTGGTGTTAAGTGGTCACTGGAGCCCATAGACATCTACAACGTAAATGCACCATCCACCTTGAGATATAAGTTGTAAGGTCTCAAGTATAGTTACAACGGTTGCTCCACCGAAGTAACCCACGTGGTACCTACCCGTGCGGACTCACAAAAGTTCCTACCACCAGTAAAAAAAGTTTATTTATAGAGACTAGTGGTTCCCCAGTAGTCAAAATTCGACTATAATAAATGAAAATTATAAGTTTGAACATTATTATGATTTTATTGTCAATTGTATACTTCTATAATCACAGGTTTCGCCAAGACTACACTATAGACAAATAATACAAACACTATTATTTTATTCTTAATTTGACCACAGACTTTTTTTATTGATTTTATGTATGTTTTATGGATAATTTTAAAAAGATAAATGCATTCTGCGCTCCTTCTCTATATTCTCTATAAGTGTGAGAAATTTCATATTCCTCCGTCCGCACAATTTTCATAAAAAGAGGTATAATATGGCGTTTTTGCTTGACGTATTAATAAAATATAGATTAAACATACGAGCCATTGGTGTCGATAATGATAATTATATATTTGCGAATTAGTTAAAGACCTATGTGTATCCTTCTATGCACTATAGGTACGTCTGTTTACCTCTGAAATGTTATATCGTGAGGTATCGGTGTTCGTTAAAACAGACAAAAGTTTGTTTCAATAGCGAAAAGAACTTTGAAGAAGCTTTTCATGAACTATGTCAATTTTAAAATAATAATTAAAAGAAAAGGGAAGTATTTTTCAATTTGTATTATACACTACATTTTCCTGAACTATAACTACTGAAAGGAGCTTCTCAATGCTTAGTTAATAACTGTTTCTTGACAGAAGTCAAGAAAAATAATTCAAATTTAATTGATTACAGAAGTAATCAATTAAATTTTACTGAACATTAATACGCTTCAGTAACTGTGACCAACTATAATAGTGTTACAATTATTTTATTATAAAGGTACATAATAAGCGTATAGGTAATAAATAAGACGTACTAGCCAAACCCGGCCTGTTTTTCTAGCCTGCTATTAATTTCAATTTAATCGGATCGCTATATGAAACTTCTGCTTGTATTAACAATGAAAACAGTTGGCTTTGACATTTCAGAATTTAATATTACCTACTAAGCGAGTCAAACCTCGTCGGTATAAAAAAAGTCACATTGGACATGGAGCTAACTAATAAAAGTCTATACGAAGGTATCTCTTTGAAAATCCCAATAAGATGAATTGCGCGTAATATTTCAACAGTGGTTGTTTACAATATTATTGTTCTTAAAAGTCTCTTTCACAATTCTGGAACGTACAAGGATACGTCGAGCGCAGTTGTGAGCCGTGCGTGAGTGCAACTTATTACTGATATAATTTCACTATTGTTTGCCGCCGGCATCACTCCATATGGCGTAACGTGTGTTCCTTAGTGTTCCGTATTAAAAGGATCTCGCTTGTTATTTTTTTTTAAACGGTAAAAGGACAGCGGGCGTACAGCCAAGTGTATACAGCCAACAATTTACGAATCTTTGGAGGTAACGGCAAAGGGAAGATCTTCCACCGAGCGGCTGAAATTGCTTGGTTGACCGACAGCCCGAATGTTGATGTTCGGTACCTACCTGTACATATGTAAGCTTATCTCGAAAATGTTGCTAGCGAGATTAAGGCGTCTGTTAAATATCATGTGTTCTATTATAGATCTTAAAAAAATATTTTAAATGGACACAAATCTTTAAAATTAATTATTGTAATTTTAACAACGATTCATTTCCAAAAAATATATAAAATTCATGGATCAAAGACTATTATCTATATTTGAAATGATTTATGAATCAGGCATTTACTACTTAATAAAAATCAAACTTAAAAATGTTATTATGAGAAGGAATATAACATACGGAACATCGCATATCGCTCTTGTATTCCTTTTTGTTTTTGCCCTACATTGAATTTCGTCAATAGAACGAGTTTCTTTTGAACAAGGCTTTAGTTTCGCGTGACTTCCTGAACGCAGTGGCGGAAGACGATATTTTATGATATTAATTAGCTATCCGTAATTTACGTGGGGTCTCGAATTTTATTATTTTGAAGATATATTTTTTTTAACGTGAAAGTTCATTCAGTTTATACAAATTTATATGGTGAAATTTGTTTAATGAGATTCTTTTAGACTAAATAAATAGCTTGTAAAAGATTTACCACAACTATTTCAGAGCTTAGAGACTGTAGATTCAAGAAGAAGAATGAACATTATAATCGAATAACAGGCGTCTTAATTTTTGAAGCCGAGACTTATTTGTTATTTTCCAATACGCGCAGTTTTAGGAGTAATAGTTTTTGCAAGTTCACAATAACAAACCACGAATGAACTCGAGATAGGAAGATTTATTTTAATGCATAAAACCAGCTTTCTCACTTAGTATTAAGTGTTTGTCGGAGCTTATAGACATCCTAAAGTGAATGCTCATCTGAGACATGACCTGGAAGTCACATAAGCATTGTAAAGGCCTTCTATTTTTTTTAATCGCACGAATGCTTAGCTGTAGAATATTGATTGTAGGTTTATTTGATTGTCAATCTAGATTCTAGATGTTGTTCATGGACGTCAGCAATGTCTGGGTCACAGTTAAGTCATTGCTTATCGCTGAGAATCCCAAAACGTGTGAAAAAGAGTACCGTTGTGAAAAAGAAGGAGAGATGGATGGTATGTGAGGATATATCTGGAAATGCGCTAAAAGTTTGGTGGGTTATAGTCACGTATTACCACTAGTAACCCTTAATTAGGGGTGGGAACAATTTGGTGAGGATAAGTAATTTTCAGACAGGAAAGCTTAGTAGGTATCTGTCAGTCCGGTCAGAAGGGAAGCGTATCGGTTATGTTATTGGGAATACCACCTCATTTGTCAAGGTGAAGTGCTGAATATATTATGTGTGTGGACTCCGGTGGGCGTTTAACACAAGAATCGTAAGCTATCGTCTATTGCAATTTAAAAGACCAAGTATGTACTGAAACCTCCTCTTGGGTAAAAGGGATAGCCTTGAGGCCCGATCCACGCCCCCTTAAGGGGACGCGACGACCCGATTGCATTGTCGCATCTAGTGATGTTAATGAATTTCCGACTGATTACTATCAGTTTTTTTTTCCTTGCAGGCAGACGAGCATACGGCCTACTTGATGGTGAGTGGTTACCGTTGCTCATGGACTTCAGCAATGCCAGGGGCAGAGGCAAGCCGCTGCCTACCGTAGGATCCTCTGAGCTTTGGCCGCAAAACTACGTAATGTACCTGTAGCTGTAACTGACGGACGAAGGGAAAGTGGCTCAATAGTAGTAGCTCAAAGAGGCCGAGGTCGCAGATACGTGCCTTCTGATTAACATTTAACCAACTGATGACGAATTTTATAATTAAACACCTCTGCGAGCATCGTCTTCATTTTCGCTAAGCTTACGAAAAATATTTTATTATAGAATAAAAAAATCTGTATAATTTAGGTGTATTTTAGTAATTGTTGTATTTTAATTATTAAAATTATTTTTTGTTAATTTCTTAGACCGGATCCTATAGACATTGCTATAAACATCGCCCATACACATGGATACCATACTGCTTCACGACAGAAATACCAGCAGTGATTATGACTATTTTTATTACACGATGTTATTCTTTCATCATGGAAGTCGTTATTTGGTACCTGCCTGCGGGATTCTAGCATTGGCACAGTCAAGTCACTCGATACGAATGCACAGGGCGCCTTAATCTTTAGGCCACGGCTTCTTCCAATACCATTACATTAATATTATTATTATTAATATCATATTTTTTAAAATTGCTCATTATATTTTTAGTTCATGATGTTGTCAACTATGGCACTGTCCATTGCACCTATAATTGAGGTGACATCTGCCATGTACTTACTTATTGTCAATTTGTCAATGTTTTTTGTATTGATGATCACTTTGTTGGTGCAACTAAATAAAAAAATATAAACATCTAGATTGTACGTATTAAGGTTAATTTTATTATGTATTATAACATAAACATATTACTATGTATTGTCAAGTTGGTCATATATTATTTATTTAATTCACACACTCAAATTTAATATTGGTAATAAATTATTACCATATTGCTCTAATTACTGATGGTAGGACCACTTGTGAGTCCACACGGGTAGGTACCACCACCCCGCCTATTTCTGCCATGAAGCAGTAATACGTTTCGGTTTGAAGGGTGGGGCAGCCGTTGTAACTATATTTGGGACCTTAGAACTTAAATCTCAAGGTGGGTGGCGCATTTACTTTGTAGATGTCTATCGGCTTCAGTAACCATTTAACACATGGTGGGCTGTGAGGTGGTCCACGCATCAAAGCAATAAAAAAAAATTACATTTTCAACGTAATCATTAAAACATTTACAAAACCGACACACACTTTGTTGGCTCACAGTAACATTGCCATATCGCACGTAGTCCCGTGGGAAGAAAATATTTATCAGGCGTCGATACGACCGCGGTCGCTACACCGTATCGCACATTATTAAAAATTATATATTATGATAATGATAAAACGTAACAATAAATAATTTCGTAGTCCATACTCTGTAGTGCGGTCAGCGCGGCCCGCTATCCCATAATAACGAATTGGCTTTGTTTGTGCGGGCCTCGTTGAAATTATCTCTTAAATTAGAGACGGTTAATTAATTTATCAGTTTTATGATATTATTTTGCAGTCGTGCATCATTGGTTGCTCATTATCGTCTCTGATGGAAAGCCTGATATTAAATTAATGAGATTTTGTCTAACAGATTTTGTACGTTTTAGGTTTTCGATTCGAGTTTGTTTATCGATTTTTGCTCGTGAATGAGATAAACTCCGTTTGATAGTTAATTAAAATTTTAGGCTAAAAATTTGCTGCTAATTCTAACAGCTAAACATGAGTTCCATCGCTTTTTTTCTATGTTAATATGTATGAATAGTTTGAATAAATCCAAAACGTGTTGTATTTACCTCTAGTGTTGCATCTAGATATATCCAGCGATTAATGCAAGCACCACAATTAAAGTTACCATCAAGTGTATTTAAAAAAAAGAGATGCTATACGATACCTATTTTGGTGTTGAAAATTTATACTGTCAAGCCTATTTCTTTTGATGTTTGATTTTCAAATAAGTAGACTAGATGATGATTCACTTTTTTATTAACGGAGCCACTTGTCATCATATAGTCCACATCGCCACCCAATTTTCAATATAATCAGTGCAAAAAAATCTAATAATAGACTTGTACAGTACAACCTTCTTCTATGTGAAACTTATCAATCTCTTTTTATTTTATTCAAACAGGCGATGATATATATGCATACTTAATATGTATTATTGTAAATGAGAAAGTTTTGTATGTTTGTCACAAAAATGGATTTGAAATTGAATGAAATTTCGTACAAAAATATGGATGTATACACAAGACACTTTTGATCATGGTATATGACATGACCCGGGCAACGCCCGCTATTTCGGCTGTAATAAATACAAGGGTGTCTAATTTGGTTCGTGATGTTACGTACCAATGGCTTACAAGCTGGCTGGTTTGGTTTATGGATCGGCGTGATACAAGGAACTCTTTATCCCCGGTAAATGCAACGTCTTTAATTCTTTCTGTATTACAAAATTAAAGCGGTCAAAACCGCCGGACATGTTCAGTGCTATCATAAATTAACGCTTTTAATTATATCCATAAATTAAAAATTAAAACTAGAATACGTACTGGTTTTAGATCTAGGTTCCCGAGGTCCGTCGACAGTGACTTTTATGGCTTTTTGATATGTTGCCACTTGAGGCGGGTTCGTCGATATCGTGATGGTCAACGAAAAGCTCTTCCCTGGAACAAAATACTTAAATTATAAGTAGATGAAATTGCTTTACCCTGGTACGGGACTTTAATGAATTTGAACAATTTTATTAATGAAATAAAATTGTACTTATGTAGGTACTCTAACTAAAGCTATATTGATGATACAAAGAAATTATTTAGTTTTAAGTAACACATATTTTTCAAGAATAAAGATAGCCTTAGAACTAACGATTGCTGGAGCAGAGGGGTTCTCGAGTGGAGACAGTGCAACGGAAAACGTAATGTGGGGCGCTCCCTAGGTGGTGCGATGACCTCCAAACAGTGGCCGGCAGGATGAAGAGAGCTAAAGATCGGGCTCAGTGGTGTGGATTGGGAGAGGCCTATGTCCAGCAGTGGACGACTGTGGGCTGATGATAAAACTTTACAAATGAAATTGTAAAAGGTACGCATACATATTATGTATATATATGTGTACTTTATATGTATTTAAAATGTATAAGAACTAATTTGAAATCATACATAAACATTTTTGTTTATCTCATAATGGTGTGAGTATCGTTTAAATATTGAATATTCAAATTAATAACCAAACCATACGCAGTTAATCATGTTGTAAATCAATTGAAATTTTAATGTAGATGATCATTATCGTAGATGCGTGGCATGTGTTGAATAAAACTATCCCTAACAACCTGACTGGTGTAACGTGACCTATAAATCGTGTTAAACATATCCGCATGCGAGATCTTCGAAAATTTGTTTTGTACTATAGACCGTATGGTCGGAAAATAGCGAGCTTTTTGGGTGCCCGATTTGCGGTGACCAGTAATGAATGCACCGATAAATACCGAATAAAATTACTGTTAAAATGAGTGGATTAACATGTCTAATGCAGATAATTCGTGTGCGGTGCACTCGATTCGGGATAAATGACCGATTTCGAGTTCGCTTTGCGAATGCTCGTGTGGTATGCTCGAGTATTCCTTTTGCATTCTGAATTTACCTCTATTATCTCACGTATGTACGACATTGAATCTACGCAGAAAATAAAAGCAAAGAATTAAAAAAATGCTTAGTTTCAGAAAAAAATATAATATTTATTGTTTCAAATATTTTTTGTAATAAGAATAACAAATAAAGTCGTTAATGTTATTTCAGCCTGTATAAAACCTAAAAAAATAAAGTTTTTCTTTGTTTGTTGCTTAGTTGGGTGAATAAACTCACGGCTCACCTGGTATTAAGTAGTAGTTGTCGGTTCTCATAGATATCAACAATGATAAATAACGTAACCCACCTTGAAAGTCTTGAAACATGGATTCTAAGGCTTGGTTCAAAGGCATATTGTAATTGGTAGGTTAACTACCCGTGCGGGCTCACAAGACGCTCTAAACGTTAAAATGTTAGAAGATTCTAAAGCCTTCAGAAGAACTAACTAAGCCGCACATTACAATGTATATGAGATCTTAATATCCGACTTGTTTTATGAAACCATTTTTAAAAGCGCATTTCAATAAGGAAACAAATCATCATAAAACATTGGTCGCTAAACATTAAAGGGGTGTCCAAAACGATGTGAAATATTGCTTTTAAACTTGCTATTAAACTTAATAATGTATTTCTCACGATCAGTCATCTACAGTTTAGGGCCTAAACACAATGAGAGCGAAGTAATAAAATATAACATTGTATCCGATGGTCATCTCGTGAGGTGTTGAGAGGGGCGCGTGAAATATTCAATTATTGTGCGCAGACGCAGGTTGTGAGGATCGAGGGTGAGGGGAGAACGCCGCCATTTTGATTTACGATCGAACGTAAATCCTCAGCGACATTTGCAGTGACTTGAGCTGACGCCATTTTATGTACAATATTTTCCGGGAAACGTCGGGCGGTCGCATTGAGAACGCTCGTCGAGTGCAGTCACACATTGGTCGGCTTAGTCGCGAATGAGTAATGAATAGTAAACGGAGAGTACATGTCGTTTCAGAGCTACGATCGGTACATGGGTACTAAATACAATGTTGGTACTTTGGTACGCCCATTGCGCATAAATTTAAAATGTTATGTGAGCGTTGAGTCTTCTCACTTATGTCAAATTGTTGTGTAGCAATTTTAGTCATGATAGCATTTATTTACGGTATGTTTTCTGATTGTAATGAGAAGACGAATTTCAAAAGGTTTTTGTCTGAAAAGTCCGATCGCGCGGCCATCTTAACCGACATTGTTGTTGATATGGTGGTAGGACCTCCTCTGAGTCCGCGCGGGTAGGTACCACAGCCCTGCCTATTTCTGCCGTGAAGCAGTAATGCGTTTCGATCTGAAGGGTAGGGCAGCCGTTGTAACCATACTGAGATCTTAGAACTTATATCTCGAGGTGGGTGGCGCATTTCAGTTGTAAATGTCTATGGGCTCCAGTAACCACTAAACACCAGGTGGGCTGTGAGTTCGTCCCTGTGCCCTGCGAAAACTATTGATGATAGAATAAAATAATGAACTACGACTTTGTAGAACACATTACTATTTACAAAAAGTGTCACAACAGCATATGTCAAACTATTATAGTTATGCCGCAATAAGTATTCTTTTATTTAAAAAATAAAACAACGTCAAATATCATTGAAATTTTTGTTGACCCGAGCGGAGCCGTAGCGGGCCGCTAGTAAAATAATAAAACTGTGGCAGATAGTGATCATACTTTACTGGTGGTAGGACCTCTTGTGAGTCCGCACGAGTAGGTACTACCACCCCGCCTATTTCTGCCGTGAAGCAGTAATGCGTTTCGGTTTGAAGGGTAGGGCAGCCGTTGTAACCATACTGAGATCTTAGAACTTATATCTCGAGGTGGGTGGCGCATTTAAGTTGTAGATATCTATGGGCTCCAGTAACCACTTAACACCAGGTGGGCCGTGAGCTCATCCACCCACCTAAGCAATAAATAAAGAATATAAAATACACATCGCGGAAACCGAAGAAAATACCATATCTATTGTTCGAATACAGCTCCATCCAAAGCTAAAAATAGTGACAAGTGCTCTGGGTGCATCTTTTTAAGCCACAAGCTACACAAACGTACTAATACTCATTAAAATAGGATCAGACACAGGTTGCTTAATCTCAATTAGTCATGTTTTATGCTTACGAGAATTTTCAATGGTACGGAAACCTATACAAAAACTTTTCTTATGTATACGTTCTGAAATATCTTAAGTATCTCAGGTGGTGGTACCTAGCCGCGCGGACTCACAAGAGGTCCTGCCACCAGTAAAAAAATACGTACCTACCTATATACGTAATTACGTACGTATATCGAGAGGTGAAAGGTTATTAAGCGACATTTTTGCAACTTTAAAGGAGAGCCAACTAAAGGATAAAATTCGGAAAAAATATTATCAATAAAAAAAAATTTCTTTAGCTATTTGAATGGGGTAAGCTCAATTAAAGTTCAATTATAAACTTTGTATTATTGAAGCTAATATAAAATAAAACGGACCTTTCATTACAGAGATAAATGTCGCGTATTAAGCGAAATATCGCTTAAACCGAATAGCCTTTCACCACTTGGTATTATTTTGGACGTTTTCAAAAATTTTGCGTTTTCGTTGTAGCGGACGACACGAATGGATATGGATGCAAGAGCTGATTGCCCAACTGGTTTTAAGCTTTTTATGAAGTCAAAAGATCCAACGCCCAACATGGGACTATGGGTGGCAGGACTGGCAGGGCGTATTGCAAACCCGATCGATATCACCATCCTGCCTATTTCAGTTGTGTTAAGACTTTTGATCTCATTTCTATCTAGGCTCAAACCTATCAGCACTTTTTATTTTCATTTTGATGGTATGATTTTTATTACACGGTGTTAATTCATCATTGAATAGGTATGCAACGGCTTGGTTTTGCCCCTAGCATTGCTGAAATCCATGGGTGACGGTAACCACTCACCATTAGGTGGGCCGTATGCTTCGTTTGCCTACAAGGGCAATAAAAATATATTGTAATCGTTCATTAGTGAACCCGTGCTAAGTACGTATTTGTAAAATATTTTATCTTGACAAGTTTTGACTCTGGCACAGTTGTATCTCTAAAACGAATACGCCAGGCATCCTATCCTTTAGGCGAACGTTTTGAACTTAGATATTATAAATGTACATATATATGTACATATATGCAATGTGCACGTAACGATCTCAAAGATTTTACTACTTCTTAGACATTGTTCATGTGGGCCGGAATCAGGTGTTATCAGACCATAAAAATATCTGGATTTGACTGTTTAAATATATAAAAAATCACTATTTTGTTACTTTCATAGTTTAGCAAGCTTTAAATGTAAGCTGTCAACCGTAAATTACAAATATATTGGTATCATTTTTTTCTTACCTATGCTGATAGCCTTGAAAGGCTATATCACCGTTACCCTATTATGTAGGTGAGCTCTCGAGGCTCAAACCGGAGTGTTGCTAACACTGGCCCTAGCAAGAGCTGTGCTTCGCAGAATCTACCACCGGAATTGGTATCAGTGCGTCAATCTTGAATAGCAAATTTTATTGCACATTTGCAATGCTCCAACCTTCAAGCCTTGTGTTGATGAGCTCATAATATGTCCTACTACTACTACTACTACTACTACTACCTGTAAATGAAATCACGTGATACCACTGTTTCTCGATCGTGATTATCATACACCAAGCTCAACTGCGTTTACTATGAACACAAAGAAGTCTTGATCAATTTTAAATAAATTTAATGCGCTGTGTTTTACATTTCTATTTACACTTTTATAAAACATTATATTAACCATTTACAAATTTACATGACATCTTAGTTGCTTTCATTTACATATAAAGTTATATATTATATTTATATACTGTCTCCTCAAAACCCCCTTATCATATATTATTTTACCTCTCATTATAATAATTATATTCAACTATTTAAATACTTATGCATCTTGTTAAATTTCGAAGTAGTCAATAGCGTCGAAATTTAATCAAAGTATTTATAAAAATAAAAAAAAAACGTATACGCAA